ATTTTATGATTAATGTAGTTGTGTTTTAAAGCTTATTATAATACTCCCTCCGATTTTTTTTAAATGCAACTTTGGGGCCTTACGCGGTTCACGATGCAAAAGTTAAGGGGTATGTGAAAGTGGGGTTAATTGAAGTTGATTAAAGTGTGTAGAGAGAGAAAGTTTGGCCCACCACTTGGTAAAGTAGTGGGTAAAATAGTTTAAAGTAGTGTGTAGAGAGAGAAAGTTTGGCCCACCACTTGGTAAAGTTGTGGGTGAAGTAATAATTTTAAGGGTTTTTGTTTACCCAAAATAGAAATAAAATAGAAAGTTGCATTTAATTAAAATCGGACTAAAATAGAAAAAGTTGCAATTAAAAAAAATCAGAGGAAGTAGTATTTTATGATAACTGTAACTTTGATTTATAGTAAAATGTAGTAGTAATTTATGCTTATTGTGGTAGTATTTTATGATTAGTCTAATTAAGTTTTAGAGTAAAATGTAATTGTGTTTTAAAGCTTATTAATAATAAATAAATATTGATATCTTATCCACTGACATTATAGATTACAACCTTATCCAATATTAGATTTTATATTCATTGATAGATTACAACCTTATCCATTGATTGATTGTGTTACGAATGATAGATTACAACCTTATCAGCAAATTTTGCTTGCAATCTTATCCGTAGTGATTGAATGCTTTTTGTCCATAGATTCAAGATTGCTATCTTATCCGTATAAGTTTATAAAAGAAGAGTTACATTGCATTTGTTTTTCACAATATCCTTCTTCTTCCAACAAACAATATAGCTTTCCCCCTCTTCAATGCAAATTGCTCCACAAACATGAACCCGAATGAAAATTCTTCTAGCTCAAGTGATGATTTCTTTGATGATTATGTTAACAACATGATCGCTATGAACGAGTGTCTAGATGAAGAAAAAGCCTTCATTATGGAGCAAGCTGCTCAATTGGTTGTTGTCTCAGCCACAGAAGAAGATCTTACAAAAAGTTGAAGTACATTGATAGAGATCGTGAAGCTGCAAACACAAGGTTAATGAACGATTACTTTATTGATCGTCCTTTATACCCAGACTCTGTATTTCGACGCAGATTCCGTATGAGAAGACCACTATTCCTTCGAGTTGTGGAAGGAGTTACCGCTAAGCAACACAGATACTTCCAGCAGCTTTGAAAGCTAGGAGCCACTCCAATCCAAAAATGCATGGCAGCGTTGAGGATGTTAGCCTACGGAACTTTAGCTGATTCAATTGATGAGTACATCAAAATAGCTCAGTCAACTGCAAGAGAAAGTCTTGCTCACTTCGTTAGTGGGGTTCGAGAGGCGTTCACGGAAGAGTACTTGAGGAGGCCTACTATTACAGATTTGCAATGCCTCCTACGTGATAGGGAAAGACGAGGCTTCCAAGACATGATAGGCAGTATAGGTTGCATACTTGCATGCATTGGCAATGGAAAACAGTTCGCGTGCTTGGAAAGGCTTATACCAAGGAAGTAGTAAATTTCCAACGGTTATCTTAGAAGCAGTTGCCTTTGGTGACTTGTGGATATGGCACGCATTTTTTGGGACACCTAGAACTTGCAACGACATCAATGTGTTGCAACGATCTCCGGTATTCGATGACTTATATCAAGGTAAAGCTCCTGAAGTGAACTTTATAGTCAATGGGAACACATATACAAAAGGGTACTATCTAATTGATAGGATATACCCTAAGTGGTTAGTGTTCATCCCAGCTATTCGACTCCCAATGAATCCCGTGGATGAGTTGTTCACCCAGCGGCAAGAATCGGTTCGAAAAGATGTTGAGCGTGCTTTAGGCGTTCTTCAATCACGTTTCGCAATAATACAAAGACCAGCTCTTGTATGGGACGAACACTTGTTGTGGGAGATAATGTTGGCTTGTATAATTCTTCACAATATGATTGTTGAAGATGAACGAGATACATACCAGAATTATCATGACATGTCTGAATTTGAGCAAGAAAACAGGTCAGTAATTGATGGATCAACTCGAACAACCTATTCTATGCAACCTGGTCGATTTAATGATACTGGATTGGACCGATATATGAAAAGGAGAGCTGACGCGTGGGATATAAATGTTCACAACGCCTTACAAAGAGACTTGGCTCAGCATATTTGGCAATATTGTGGGCGGTCTACCGATGACAACTGAATATCTACCCGCAATTTAATCAAAAAAATTAATTATGTGGTATCGTGTTTAATTTCATCTATGTTTCTTTTTGTTTTTTTCCCCCTAAATACAATCTATGCATGTTTTTTTTTAAGTATTTAGTTGTTGTAATAATAAATAATATAAATAATATTTGCGATTAATTAAATTTTTTTATCAAGTAATGCGATTAATTTTTTTTTGTTTTTTTTACGATAATGCGATTAATTTTTTTTTTAAGAAAACTAATCTGATTAATTAGTGTGATGAATCAAATTACTACTTCCGTTAACAGTTATTTGCAATAAAGGGGGTCAGTGTGAACTCCTAGGCAAAACTTCTTAAACATGATTATTGAAACTTATGAACATGTAATTAACTATTAATCTTAAAAAAAAACCAGTTACAATTAAAAAGAACCGCCCAGAACAACCACCACCGCACGCCACACAGAACCACCACCACCACCACCACACGCCACCCAGAACCACCACCCATGCCACCCAGAACCCACGAACTACCATCCACGCCATCCACAAATCACTGAAAGTCACCCACAAACCACTGAAATCCACCTAAGAATCACGAAAAAACCACGAAAACCACCCTAGAACCACCAGATCTGAAATCCAAAAACCAAACCCATCCAAAAACTACCCCCACGAACCGCCCAAAACCACCACCACCGACACCCACCCACAAAGCAACCATCCGCTAACCACGAAATAGCCACCCACAAACCACCAACACCCACCCACAAACCACAAACAACCACCCACAAACAACCACTATCACCAGATTTACCGAACCCACCCACAAACCACCAACAACCACCCACGAACTGAGATGAGAGATGACAATGAAGAAGATGATGAGAAATGAGATGAAGAAGGAAGAAGGAAGAAGATGAGAGATGATGATGAACTGAGAGATGAAGATGGAGGAGAGAGATGGTGGGGAGATGAAATTAGGGATTGATCTGATTTTTTTGGGAGGAAAAGTTTAGACTATTAAGTTAGATTAGGGTTATAATAATTTGTAATTATGTGTAGTATTATATGTTAATAATTTTTAAATGAGGGTAATTTGGTCATTTTACCATAAAAAGTTACTATATTAGGAAAGAAATAGTTTTGTTGCAAATAATAAATAGCATCCTTTTTTGGCATATGTTGCAAATAATTGTTAACGGGTTAGTATTTAATTAAAATTGGTAGGATATGGAAAGTAGGAGAGAGAAAATGTGATGGGGTATGGACAATAGGAGAGCGAAAGTAAATAAGGAGGTTAATGAATATAGGTATGAAAATGTAAAATGGGAAGGATATGTGAAGAAGTTAGTGGAAAGTGATGTGGACTAATGAGGTAAGAAGAAAGAAACTATGGGGAGCCTAATGGATGTGGATACTCGTATCCCTTTTACCTGGCCTTACTCTTTCTTGATAATGTCTCACAGGTTGTTAATATCATGCCACTAAAAGGCGGTTCGCCACCCAAATTTGTTCAGAGAACCATGCTTTGTGCAGAGAATTACACTGTGGTTTGATCAGGCAAGGTAGTCTTACATATATGTGACTTTGCAGCTATTTTTCGACAGATGCTTATCGCCGGGCTAATTTGCACATTGCTAGCTCATGGTTTTTACTTCCCTAGCTTGAGTACAAATTTGTTCTTGTTCCTTAAGGATTGCTCATCGACTGCAACCCAGTATGACCTTCCATCCTAAAAATGACTTTTTTCAGTACAAGTTTTGAATTGACTTTTGAATTGCAAAAAAATTTGGTCAACGATATTTCTTCCTTAAGTTACAATTACTTGGATTTTTGTTTGAATGCCAAAGTTACATAACTTAACAATGTAGAAAAAGTTTCTTTTGCGGTGTCCTGGAACTTTTTAAATAGTATTCATACTTTCTTTGTCCCTGAATTATAGACTATATTTCTATTTTGGATTATTGTCTAAAAATTACGAGTTCTATAGTTTGCTTTATAAGTTTAGCTTAATAACTTACAATTAGCCCATGTTGCTCTTAAGATTACTTGAAGTAAGATTACTCCGAAGCAAAAAGATTCTTACAAGGACAAATATAATGTTTAAGCCAAATTTCTCATAAACGACTCAATAAAAAGTGACCGACTATTTAAATATCGAACCCACATAAGGCATGATAATATTTAATTCAAAATCCGTTCTTCAAGTTGTACCTCGTATTCCAATATATGCTGATGTTTGGACATCATTTTTAATTCATAAGATTTCTTAATCGTTTTTTAGCTGTACCTTGTCAAAGAATAGTTTTTTCTTAATCGTTTTTTCGTTGTACCTTGTCAAAGAATAGTTTTTTCTTAATCGTTTTTTAGCTGTTGTCATTAATACATCGTATTATATGTTAACACATGAAAATTTTAATGCACCCTAATTGAATGCCTGGTACCTTGGTTAAGTCATGTGGCCATTCTGGCCAAGATGATTGTTTCAGTAATTTGCATTTATAGCATTTATAAATTTCTACTTGATTTATAATATAAGGTACACACACATTTTTATATGTGGCCGGCCATCATGGGGTTGCTCTTGCTCATTAGTGTTATAGGGGTTACTCGGTCAGTGTTACAAGATTTACTTCGCCAGTGTTGCAGGGGTTTTTCGGTCAATATTACAGGGTTAGTCAATCAATTTTATAGGGGTTACTTTGTTATTTTACAAGTGGTCACATAATACGGTCAGTCACACACAAGACGTGCTGTACTGTACAAGTATTTTAGAAAATTCTTAGAAAAATTTATCTAAATTAAAAATAATTAAAAAAAAAAAAAAGTTTAATAAATTTGTAGAGATCAATGCAATTTTGATTGCTACATTCGACAAAAAATGATTTAACTTATTGTATGATACAAATTAGTATACAGATTTGTCCTCATTTATTTTATTGGCTGTCAAAAGCACAAATTCAAACACAATAAATTACAAGAATTAACACAAGAAAAATAACTCAATACTTGAAGATGATCCCTAGCTAATACTTAGGTTTGGGATTAATAACTATTACGTTTGTGACAGTTCTTCCTGACTTCTCCTTTTTGTCCAGTTAACGCCTTGTAAATACCCAATCGATTCATCGACAATGCGAATGCCCTCCGGAAGTCTTCAAACCCGTAACCAGGGTGAGCAAATTGTTCACTAAGTTGTTGGGTTTCATTCCCATACAAGAGTTCTTGATCAATTCTAAGCACAGCTTGGTTTGCTATGATGTTTTTGTAGTAGTCGTTTGTGAACCTATAGGCTCCATCCGAGCCCTTGTTTAGGGCAATTAGTCCTTCGTGTTCGCCTTTTTGGTACTTTTGTGGACATTGCTTCCTTAAGTCCTCTAGACTTGAAGAGTCTAGGGTTGGATCCGGCTTTCCGGTGCCTTGAAAGTTGTATAGACGATCATAAATGTAACGACATCTTGCCCTCCCGGTTGAATGTGCTCCTATAAATCATAACAAAGTATACATGAATTGACAGTCTAAAAAGTTATGTCTATACGGGTAGGACTTATGTTTAAAACCAATATTTTTCGTTATCTAAAAAATTTGATCGATTTAAATAGGATGGTATAGTTATTTAGCACGTAGAATTCATTAATGCACGTCTAAGTTGTTTCTTGTTCGTACATAAATTACATTATCAACCGAACCTTTTATCTAAGAATTTTTAAAATGTGAGTAAAAATAAATAAAGTACGGGGTGAAATAATAAATTAGTAGATTGAAATTAGAGGCTTTCTTGAAGGTGTTACCTAAGAGTGTTGTGAAATCCTGAAGATCAAGGCCTCTAGCTTGGAAATATGCAAATCCTTCTTCCCATGAGATATTTGGTGAAGGGAGGTCCACAGATGAAACCATTGAAGTGTACCCATCCTTTCTTCCTGTAAGAATTGGGTAGGATGGAGCACCAGACTGGAATTTTTCCAAAAAATATTATTACATATTATAAATATTATTATTAATATTCAACTTCAAAAAAATTAAAAAAAAATTTACAAGTATGATTCAACTAGACAAGTAATTGTGATATTTCATTCTTGATTAAATAATATAATACAAAGTACTTCCTAGATCTCAACGTTGTTTTAGGTTGTTTTAAAATAATGCGTCACTTTTGAGTAAAACATTGTTGTATTACTCCTAATAATTTTCCTAAATTGATTGTGGAGAATCAGAGATAAAGGGAAATATTTAAGTACGAATTACTCCCTATTTCTCTACGATTTAGAAGGAATAATTTTGATTTAAATAAAAATTACTATAAATTAAATAATGATGCATAAGAAAATAGAAATTACCAAGTAAGCAGCATCTCTAGTAGCAAGTTGAAGGATATCAGCACAAGAGACAACTCCAGGACATCTTTCTTCAAGGACTTCCTTGATTTTGTCAATGAACGCAAATCCTCCAAGTCCGGTATTTTGTGGTGCCGTTTTCTCTGAGTTTGGTCCGTCTAAGAGAATCGAGGCATCACATCCCTGAATCACGTTACATACGAGTTTAGAGAATATGACAACTTTATAAACATTGCATAATAGTGTATTGCATACGCTTATGTAGGGATCACACACCTTACAATGGGTTGAAAATCGAAACCTATGAAAAATGGCTAACAATTGGCCAATCTTGATTCTCATAAATGAAAATGTATAAATACGGTATTAACGTACGATGATCAGTTCACCACGCTATACTACTGCTGCTAATGTGATCATAGAAAGGAGAGATGGTTGGCATCTCCCCTAATAGAGATGGGAATGGCCTTCGGGCTTTCCTGTTAACATACACATCCGGTTAAGGCTACCCACTTCAATTCGGTGGATCTTATAACCTAATTTTTGAGATAGGAGGCTAGAGTAGTTGGCTAGTTCTCTGACTTCCAGGCGTAAAACCAGGGGTCGAATCTCACCAAGCACATTTTAGGAGGAATTTCTCATATATCCTCCTTCTAGGATGTGCCTTCTTCTTACCTAAAAAAATAATAATAAAAAAAAAAGGTACTTTTCCAAAAGGAAAACCAAAGCACGTGACTTATGTTGCTAACGAAAATTCATCAAGGCATCTTTAACTAACACTAATTTAGGCTTTGTACTAATTTTTTGTTTTTCCAAAATTTAATAGCTCATTTGGTTAAAGCTTCCTTTCTGATTTTAGGAGATCTAACATCGACTCTTATCACCCGCCCTTGTAACTCTCTAAACAACAAAAAAAAAAGTTCTTGCATTGTAGACTAGATCTAAGCTGTCATTGACAATATTGAAAAAGAACAATAACCATTAAATTTTTTAATAAGCAAATTTTAGGCTTATAATTTTTAGAAATTTTAGCGGATTTGTAAATATGGACTCTTGTGCAGTTGTGCTACATTCCTCGCCCCCCTAGCTTATTTCCATACTAATTAATTTGAACTGTATATTGAACTGTGAAAGGTTGCAAATAATGAACACAACACAAAGTTGTTTAACGACTAATTCATCAAGAAGTACAAGGAGAACATATATATGGTAAATTAAAACAACCTATCACAAGAGACCTCCATCTAGACCGTATTAACATAAACCAGCATGACACAATTCATGCCTACATAACTTGAACATTCATTGTGCCAAACGGAATGACCACACATCCCTCAGCCCTTTGGCACAAAACACGGGCCGGCCGCCTAGCGGCGAGCACGGCTCAATGTCAGCTTTAATAGTAATATACACGTACTAAACCTTAAGAAAGAAAAGTAGTTTAAAGGTGAAAATAAAATTACCGTGACCATACAATCTGAGTAGGCCAACCGAAGAAGTTTAGGAGTAATGCTCTTGTCTTGATCCCAAAACACTTTCACAAGGTGCTTCACATATGCCTCAGCATGATAACAAGTGTTAGTCTTCTTGTAATAACTTCGGGTCAAGGTGTCTCGAGGCACTGTAACCGCCCCTTCGACATCTCCGATCATCAAAAAACCCACCACAAGGAAAAGAAGAGCCACTAGAGGAAAGTACAATTGCTTGCCTTCCTCCATTTTACTCTCTTACCCGAAAAAAAGGCTTAAAACTTCTCTTTAGTGGTGCTCTAACTCTATAAATTTAGATTTCTAAGCTTAACTGATATTGAAATTAGCGTTATTGGTAAAGGATTTATATAGTGTATAATATGCCAGCTTAGTTGAGTAAATTACACTCCAATTAGTGTAACTATTTAATAGGTTTTGGTATATTTTAGTGTTGTACGTAAGTATTTTGCTTCATTTTTCATGCAATATTAGTTGTTAAGCTTGTTTATGCTACAATTTTCCTAGTATTGCGAAAGTCGGCTTTTAATTTATAATTAAAAAATTACTACTAATTATTTTTTGGATGCAAATTAAAAATATTCTATAACTTTGTATTTATTCTACCATGGCCATTTGAATAATGCAAAGTTGTTCCTAGCTAGAAACTTCCCTTAAATCTTTCACGTAATTTCATGCAATCATAAAAGATAATACACTTTTGCATACTTTGTACTTTGTAGTATAATTTAATTTTATTTATTATAAAATTGATGCATATGTAAAAAGAAATTTGATTATATAAGTTAGTAATTAAAGTTATCCTCAGAATTTATGCCAAAAAAAGATAACTTTAATAGTATATACGAAGTATATATATAAGTTAGTTATTAAAGTTACCCTTATTCAAGAATTTGTGTTATGCAATAACCACGCCTAAACTATTAGATTATATACCGAAAGTAAGATTGATATATTAGTAGATCATAAATGATTTAAGGTATGTTTATTTTATCAACCTGATTTTTAATTATTTGAACTTAATTATCTTAATTTATTTGAACTTACTATAACTTATTTTAATTGTAAATTGAAGTAGAGTAACCCTTATTAATCTTTATCTAAACTGGTCATAACTTATTTTTCCCGAATAAGTGAAACTAAGACGAAAATATAACCGTACAAATTATCCATGTATATATATTTTTCGTAAGATATTTTTTCAAATTATTATTATATATTACGTAGCTTTATTAATGAAACTAATTATTTATCCAACGATCCAATCAAATAAGGCCTAACTTTTGCTTGAACGTTTTAATCCCATAAGTGGGGTCGGCTACATGAACTAACATGAGAACCTCTCAAGAGGCCATCCATCCTAGTATTACTCTCAATTATCGTTGTTCATGTCAAGCGATGTGACAAAGCTTTACACTAGTTGTCACTGGCCTACCATAACTCTCCTCCTTTATCCTGGGTTGGGACTGGCAGCGGAAAACCCACTGACGGAGTTAAATAAGGCCTAAACAAAAACAAAATTTCAGTTAATGGAACAAAAGGTTTTCTAAAAAGTTGATTGAATTAAGGATCCAGCTTGGTGTCTCCGATTTGCCATACTTTTTGAGAGATAAGATCCTATTTGCCATCTTTGCGCAGTACATCTATTATTGTATTAGATTATACAAGTATTCCCTCCTTCCCTTAACTATGTGAGTATGTGTTTATTTCTCTTTATTATGTGAGTAATAAATATTAGAAATAGGCACGTAGTACGTTAAGGGACGGAGAGAGTAATTTTTTTTATTTGCATAAAAATGTGAACATAATTATTATTATTGTTCCTTAATTAATTACACCAATAGTATATTAGTATCGGAACTTGGAAAAAATGAGAGATTACTTGTACGAAAGGTATTCACATTGGCCACTGTGTTTTTAACACTCTCCTGAGACGCCATGTATGTTCAGCTAACGTGCATAGCACGGGCTATTCACATGAAATTTTAATTACTTGTATTTTCATTATTATTATTATTATAGTTTCATATGCATTTAATCCTATTTTATTTTTGGGATTTGTTATTCTAGTTTTGTTTGCTTGGCTAGTTGGCTTTAAATTACATGATATATATGTACAATATGTACATATTTACAATGACACGGTTGCTTGGTTATATAAAGGTAGTGGGAAACGAACAATTAAATTACTTGTCATTTGTTTTTCTTTTTTCCCTTTTCTTTTATGAATTATATATTAGCCAAGAAAGTGATGTGGTGGCTCGATAATTACATATTAAGCCAAAGAAAGGCAGGTTTTATATATTGGAGTAAATTTTAGAAGAACTCAAGTGGGTAGTAAATAATGCGATTTCAATGGAATGGAGTAGAGAGAATGAGAGAAAATGTTCAAGAACATGCATGAAATTACTCTCAAGTGTAAAATGGGTCTACACGCATGACTGACATGAACAAGCGAGATTTTTAAATCAGACGGTGCTAATTACAAGATAATTACACTTGATTGTATAATGAAAATTAAAGTGTATTAGTACTATATAACTTGTGAGCTGAGTCAATTAGCAAGCCAACATTCTTATGGCTTCAATTATATCATATATATGCATGCCTTACAAATGAAAACAAAAATTAAAGATTACATGTTTTAAGAATCTATGCATAACAATAACTAGAGTCAAAAAATAATTGTGTGCCCAATATAAGACATATGATTTACATGGTCCAATAATTCAAATATATATGTCCAGAATCTTCTACCTAGAAAATCTGCTTACATTGTAAACTAATTAATCATCAAAAAATATTAATTTCTTTCTAATCAATTTCATTCAGTTTCTTAATTAAAGCTCAAAATATTTCCTACAAGTTCCCACCGTCGTCATTAGACTTACATTAAAGAACCAAAAAAGGTGTAAAATAACTTGTATTATAAAGAAATTAAGTTTCAAGCTACGACTACATGTCTAAGTTAAGCTTAATATGCCTAACATGCCTTATTTTTTTCCCCTTATTGCTAAGTCAAACTGGAAATCTAGTATCTCCCATGACGAGTCATAGACAACTAGATTTTGATATCATAAGGTTCCCATCAAAAAGTGGATATAAAACGAGCATAAGGAAAATATTATGTACAATGTGTGTATTGCGTGCATGCATTGCAGTATACTTTATTTTTTTTTGTTGATGAGGAGAATGTGTCCTATCGGAATTGGAGTTTCAAACGGGTAAGCAAAGCCCTTTAATTTGGGTGTGGATTGGAGGGAGAAAGGTAAGGAAAGTCCCACCCAAGTTACCCCTAGACGGCTCTAGCTAGTAGGGATTGCAATACACATACCATTATGTACTTCGTATAATAGAGATAATTAATCACATATACGTCAATGTTATAAAGGACGCTCTGACTTTAATGTGATTTGGGTGTGAATGTGTGATAACTAAATTTGTTTTACAAGATTCATCCGTTGTATACAACGGATACAGAATAAAGAGACACCAAGCGGTATAAAATCCACCTCTAAACTATGCTGCGCAGTTTGCTTACCATGCACAATCCCTGTTTGCTAGTTGTTATGCAAGAATAATTTGACCAATTGGTTGTCAAAAAAATAAGTTTGACCAATTTTATATCTTCATTATCAATTCATGAACGAAAGAAAAAGTCGTCTTTGTCTTAAATTTTAGCAGAAAATTTTCACCTGATTTTTAATTGTTCTCTGAATTTTAGAGTAAATGAGGGGAATCATATATCGTACATTCGTACACGTAGTAAACTAGTACTCGTAATAATATCATATAGTTGATCTTTAAGGAAAAATTAATCCTTTGTTTGAGCTAATTTTCTTTAAAAAATATTAGTTTCTTTTTTCCCGGAAATTTAACAGACTTTTGTCAACGTAATTCATAGTGCATAGCGGCATACGTTTATAAATCTATTCCTAGTATATAAATCTATTCCTAGTATAGAAATAGAACAAAACCCAGTTAATACCCTATATTAATAAAAGTACTTCTTTATATCATCAAATTTTCTCACATTATCCCCTTCTATGGACACTATTTTCTTCTCTCTGCTCCCTCCGGCTCTCATGGCCATATCGGCGATCGACCACCTTCGCGGCTTTAAACTGATCGGTCGGTCGAATACAAGACACTCTAATAGCAAAGTATGTAAAGTGGGCCTATACTAATAACCCGTTAGAGAAAGACATTTGCTCGCACTAAAACAGCTGATTTTCGACGGATCAGTTCCAACGGATGCGTAATTCCGTCGAAAAATTCGGTATTTCCTATGGATTTTTATTCTGTTAGATATTTCCGACGAATTCAAACAATAATTTTCGACGGATTTTTCGTCGGAAATTACATTACTAAAAAAAAAAAAAGGTGTCCAAAAAAGGGGTTGGAAACTAATTAAAGAATTTTTTAAAAAAGGCATAAACCCTAATTACCAAATCCGCCACACCCCGCTTCATTTCCCTTTGTCCTCTCTTTCTCTCTCCTCTTCCTTTCTCCTCTTTTTCTCTCACGATTCTCTTTCTCTCTCCTCGCTTCTCCTTTTTCTCTTTCCTCTCATCTTCTTCTATGGATCTCGCCTCCCCTCACTTCTCCTATGTTCTTCTCACTTCCTTTCTTTCTCCTCAATTCCACTTTCAATTGGACCGCCATCGCACACAACTCTCATTTCCTTTTCTCCTCACTTCCCATGAAATTCGAGTATAAATTAAAATGAAGTATGGTTTTTTTGTTCAAATTCGCCCATAAAAACACTAGATCTAGAGTTTTCATGGTTGAATTTGACCTTGTAAACCCAAAGTACATGATGGAAGGAAAGGTATGTTGTTTTTCTTCGTTTTTCTGGGTTTATGTTGATAAATTTATGTGGTTTTCTCGTTTTTTTAGGTTTTATTTTCAATTTTTGAGGGTTTTATTTTCGAGTTTTGGGGGTTTTATTGTTTTTGATTTTTTGGGTTTTTATTTTCGATTTTTGAGGGTTTTTATTTCCGATGTTTTATGGTTTTTATTTTCGATTTTCAATGTTCTGTGTTCGATTGTCTGCATTTTGGGTTAAGGTAGGGATGGTTAATTAGGGATTTTATTTTCTGGGTTTAAATTTCGATTTTCTGGGTTTTGGTTTAAGGTAGTGGTGGTAAGGGGTTTTATTTTCGATAATCTGGGTTTAGGTGGTGGTGGTTTTGGGCTAAGGTGGTGGTTTTGGGTGGGGAGGGGTTACGAGTTAGGGGGTTGCTGGGTTTTTTTTTTTACAGCTTTTTCCGACAGAATTTCCATCGGAAATCTCCGGCGG